GAAAGATAAACTTTTCCCCCAAGATCAAGAAAAGGCAGAGACGTTGGTCTCCACACTTCATTTAACATTGTGCTAGAAGTCCTGGCCGGTGCAAGTATGGTGATTATGAACAAACAAAGAAACAAACAAATAATAAAAAGCTTACCAATTAGAAACAAACAAAACTATCTTTATTTATAAAAAACATGATTATGGTCATAGAAAATTCTCTGTAATTCCAAAAAGTTCTAAAATGAATTTAGCAATGTCATGAGATACAAAGTGAATATACAAAAATCAATTGTATTTCCACATACTAATAACAAATGGAAAATAAAATTTAAAATACCATTTATAATCATATCAGAAAATGCAAAATATTTAGGCATAAATTTAACAAAATATGTGTGATATCTGTACACTGAAAATTACAAAAAGTTGCTGAAATTTTTAAAGATGTAAATAAATGGGGACATATACCATGTTCATGAATTGAAAGCCTGAATATTGTTAAAATGACAATTCTCCCCAAATTGAGCTATGGATTCAATGCAATCCCAACCAAACTCCTAGCAGGCTTTTTGTAGAAATTGACAAGCTGATTCTAAGCTGTATAGAAATACACAAAGGACCTAGAATAACAAAAAATAACTCTAAAGAAGAAGAAAAAAGTTGAGTATCTTACACCATCCAATTTCAAGACTTGCTATATAGATATTGTTATCAAGATAGATACAGAATTACAAAACAGAATAGAGAGTTCATAAATAGAACTACTCAAAATATAGTCAATTGATTTTCTACAAATGTGCCAAGGTAATTCAATGTGAAAATGACAGTCTTTTCCACAAATGGTGATGAACTGGATATCCATATGGAACGAAGCAAACCTCTACTCTAACCTCGCACCATACATAAAATTTACTCTAAATGGGTCATAAATATAAACATAAAATCTAAAACTGTAATAAAACTCCCAAAGAAAAACACACATAAAAAATCATACTGTCTTGGAGTAGGCAAAAATTACATAGGACAAGAAAAGTACAAACCTCATAAGGAAAATAAGAATAAATTGGACCTTATTAAAATTAAAAATGTTTGCTTTTCAAAATACACTGTTAAGAAAATGACAAAGTAAGCAACAGACTGAGTGAAAATATCTGTAATACATATATCTGGCAAAGGTTTTATATCCAGAATATACAAAGAATTTTTACAACTTAATAAGAAAATAAAAAATGGGTAAAATATTTGAAGACACTTCACAAAATATGACATATGAATGGCCAAAAGCACATGAAAAAACACCTTAACATTATTAGCCATCAGGAAATACAAATTTGAACCACAATGAGATATCACTATATATCCAACAGAATGGCTTGAAAAAATACTGACAATGCTGAATATTGACAAGGATTGGAGTTCACACACATTGTTGGTAGGAATGTAAAATGGTCCAATCAGTTAGGAAAATAGTTTTGCAGTTTCTTATCAAGTTAAGTGTACACTTACCCTTTGATCCAGCAATTCTGTTCCTCAGTATTTACCCAAGAGAAATGATAATATTTGTCCACATAGAGACTTATACGTGAACAATCATAGCAACTTTATTCATAATAGCCAAACACAGGAAACATAGAAGTTTCTTCATATAGTGAATTTATGTGAAATTCTAAGAAAGACAAAACTAATAAATAATGATGAAAAACAGATCCATCGTTGTTTAGGCTTGATGGGGGCTGGGATTATTGACTGCCAAGGGGCAGAAGGGCATTTTGGGGGTGATTGTGGCAGTGGTTACTTGGGCATATGCATTTGTCAAAACTTAGCAGACTGTACACTAAAATATGTGCTTTTATTACATGTAAGTTATATTTCAATTATATCTTTGATTTTTAAAAACAAAATATATCTATATATACTTATTTTAAATGTGCAGAAAGATAAACTCAAAATTATAAAACAGTAGTATTTCATAGGTGATATTAAAATTTTTAACAGTTGGGAATTGTAAGCGCCAACCAATCAGAACAAATAGTGAGCATGAAAAGTTGGCACAGCCAACCCATGTGAACAAGATGAGTCTTAGCCCAGGAAAACAATAGTTATCGATAGATGATGGGATTATTGATGTCCCTTTTCTTCTTTTTGCTTATCCATATTTTCTAATTTTCTATCTGTATTTTCAATCAGGTACTTTAAAATAAGGAAAATAAATGTATCTTTAAGTGTAAAAAAGAAAAATGGTACCCTGTTGATATCACATTTCATGCTGTTATAAAATTCTAATGGGTCTCAAAACCCTAATGGAACTTTTAAATAATAGATGTGAGAAATGGTATACTAAAACAGCACTGAATTAGAAGTTAAAAATGGATAATGCCATAAAAATATTTCCCATCTACTACAAAAAAAATAGTGAGATACATTTTTAAACTCTTTTCCCATTTTAATATTTAAAAATGCCCTTCTTTGGCTCCTATTCCAACTAGATCTCCAGATAATTGATTATGTTTAAGAGAGAGGTAGTATCTTTCCTCAAGTTGTCCAGTCTCTGAAATGCCATACTGCTCAAAATTCATTACATAGTATTTTCCAATGGATATCTTGGCCTAGGTCAAACGTTAAAATCTAGCTGAGCAAACCAGGAAATCAAATGATAATTAGCAACCCTGGATACAATTTAATAGCAAAATTACAGCCTATGACAGGAAGAGTTGTGGCCATCTTCTCCTGGCATGGTTACCTCCACCTCTATGGCTTATCACAGCAACAAACCTTTGCTCTGAGCAATTGCCTCAGAAGTAAGCACAATAAAAACCTGGCTATAAGAGTAGTCACTGAGAAGCTATGATCAGCAAATAATGACCAGGGAATCCCATTTATCATGTCTCTCTCTATCAACAGAGATACCATACCAGCTCCCCATCAGCCCAGTTGAGAGTCAATGGCTGGTTTAGCAACATGACTCCTTTCTGAAAGTCTGAAAAGCCCAGGGTAAAATCATGCTACTGTACAATCTCCTAATGCTGCTTCACCATGCAGCTCAAATTTGTGATTTTAAAAGCACCTCAGCCCACTGTGAGTTCACAGTTATCTTTAATGATTTGCAGATCTCAGCGTTTTTAACAGCTCATTTTTGCACGGTGGCTACGGTGTAACACCTGCACCTAAATAGTGACTGCTTATAATACCCTGGGCAGTCAGGATGAGCAGCAAACGAGAGGAAGCGGCAGCATCCTCCACCTTGTCTAGTCTTAATTCACTCCTCCTGCACTTGAGCACAAGCATATGGAGCCTATAGAGCCGGGATGTCAGCTTCCAGAGCCCACGCAATCTCGGCTCGTGGGACCGCCGTCATCAGCAGAAGCTGACCACCCTGCTCCATTACGTGGAGAGAAACAAGAAAATGATGGCAGCTCGAGGCCACCAGGGTCTTTCTCTCTGGAAGCTCTGACTTCTAAAGATGAAGGATCTGTCCCCAGATCACAATTATAAAAAAAATATGCAGAAGTTTTCATGAGGCACCCCATGTGGCATTTTTACAAGATATTCAGCTATAAATTACATTACCAAATCCAGCTTCATCTGGACATGTTAGCATCATCCACCTTCTAAATGGGGATTAGAATCACCTTTATAGTTGATATAATACAGTATTATGTAACAACTTTTATTCTCTAATTTCAAAACATTAGGTATCTTATGCAATAACAACAATGGCAGATATGTATTGAACAATTGCTATGTGCCTGACGTTGTTCTAAGCTTACACGCATTAACTCGTTTAATCCTCAAAACAACTCATTGTTACAATGAGCCAGGATTTGAGCCTGGCATCTGTCTCCAGAGTCTTTGCCATACTGGGATAGATCAAGAATCACAGACCCCATTTGTCTAGAGAAGTGAACTTCTTATAAAGCCACCCAAGGACTCAGAAGGAAGTTGGCTATGGTTACACTTCAAAATGTCCCTGAACAGACTGGGAAATCTCTGGTGTTGTATATGTATCGTAACTGCCTTGCCTTACCTGCAAAAGCCTTTTGTCTAAACAGAAAATGGTTGGTTCCGAGGGAAGATATCATCAGTGATTTTCAAAAATAGAAATGGCCCACTGTGATTCTTTAGGTTTACAGTGCTCTTAGCAAATTTTCTAGGGTACAGACTCATCCTCCACACCCCTGCATGGTACATGAAGGGCTGATGATCACACCTCACCACAGGGTCACCAGCTATGCTGGAGGTTGATTTCCATCTGTAGTTCTCCTGCTGGGACCATTTGGGAGAAGCAGCAGAGGATGACACTGCCCAACCCACTTCCCCGGAGCCCTTAACCACTTTCACCTCCAACAGTCAGCACCTGTGGTCTCTGTCCAAGGGCCACCCTCAGCCTGCCAGACTCTGCTTTGCCAGCAGGTAGAGAGAACCAGAAGAACCCTTCCAGAGCAGTCCTTGGCCAATGACTAAGGGCATGAAGGATATAAATACCACAACTCTCTCACCCCTGATGGGGATGACTCTGAGATGTGATTATATTGTCTCCAGAGCCCCCTGCAAGATCCAGCCAGAGTCTTGGAACTTGACTTCATATTGCACCCCAGCTTCATCTCCTTCCTTTCCCTATCCTACTTCCCTACTCTTACTGGATTTCCTGGAATCACTTCATAATAAATCATTTTCATGGCCATCATTGCTTTGGGCTGGCTTCTGGGACAGCAGAGGAACAGCAGAACATGCAGAAGATCCCTCTAAAATGCCACCTCTCTGTATCATCTGAACAAACATCTTGGGACCATTAAGTCTCCTGCCCCTCTCACTGGAAACCTTGGTCCTGTAACACAAATGGAATGATCCACTTATATTGTCCTTGTTCATCCCTGAGTTACTTACTCCTCAATAATTCAAAAAAATTACAGAGGTCAAGTTATTGTGAGCGAGATGGCCACAGTGTCCTCACATAATATTACAGAAGGAACACTCTTAACGAGGGAACTTTGAACTGATGTTCACAAAATTGTGGCTTCAACAAAAAGAAAATACAATGGATTCAATGGCTCAAAATGCTGGCCTGCAGACTGAAAGCCAAACAGATTCCCTAACCTGTGTAACTCCATTCTCCAATGTGAGGTCTAGAAAGGATAGCCCTTCAGAGGATACTAGCCCAAACTCCTCATTTCACAGTTTTGGTTCTTCTGAATCAAATCCTTTTGGTAAACATTTCTCACAGTAGTTTTAAACTTTAATTACATACTCTACCAAAGCAAAGATCAAAATCTCTACAAGAGTTCTTTTTTATTTTTTATATGAAGTGTTTATTAGTATGTCTCTTTGGAATAGATTTTCATACCCCAGGCCTGAAAAGAAATTCCACATAGAAATCATTCTCAAAACACTTTTTAAATACTTGAATTTGTCCTCCTTTCTCATCTCATGCAATGACTTGTTAATGAAGAATAATTAAAATAGATTCTTATTAATAAGAATACACTGCATTTCAAAAATATTTTTTAGATATAAAACCCTTGAGTGCACCAATGTCTATAATAGAGAAATTAAGCTCCAAAGCTTCATCCACACGGAGATTCTAGATGTAGTGCATTTCAAATCAAACAACATGGTAGTAACAAAAGATCTGCTTCATGCAATGGGTTGGCCTAATTGAATAGATATAATTACAATCTGTTAATATCCATGTGGACCAAGTAGAATGTCATCACTGTTCTATGTACATGACTATGATAGTTCTGCATTTCTTTCCATCCTGGAATCTGAGCGCTGATTTTCCTAAATATCTGTGATCCAAGGGATTTGAAAGAGATTCCTCCAAAATGTTCCAGGGCGAATTTCCTGAGTGTTCGACTGGCAGCTTTAAGTTAAGACTTCACCTTGGATGACTTGTTGAGGGGAAATCCACCCCCAGTAAATCGGGGGCCAGTTGGTTTGGCCATTGGGAAGGTGTTATCCATGGATATTCTGTCCTTGTTTCTGTAAGAGAGGAGGTGAAAGTTAGCTTCCTTAGCATCTTTTTCTTCTCCTAAGCTTGGTATTCTCTAAGTTCCTACGGTGAGTTAGCCACTGAAAACTGCTTTGATTAAAGCTTACAGTTTTAGACAAGGTGGTTGTTTAAATCTAATTAGGTGTTTGCTAACAACACATAGAATTAGGAAAAGACACAATTAAATGTACCTTTTTAATGTTGATGTAAATATGGACAGAAGACCTCATTATAACTCAAGCAACTAAGGACTTAAGGCTCCTGACTTGTAATCAGCTTCATATTTTAGAAAACATTTGTTTAGTTCCAAAGATGAGTCAGAAGAATCTTTCTCTTGGCTCAATTATAATGACTAATTCATCATTTATCAACTTTTATATTCTAAAGTTCAGTGGAAACATAAATATTTATCACTCTCACACAAGGTATCTTCATCAAACTTGGACATTTATAAAATACAAATTTTCCTATAACTTTAGACAAGCAGCAGTAATTATTAGAAATAATTTAAGATACAAAAAAAGCTGGGAAAGATAAATAAGATAGTACATTTGGCAATAGATAAAGGGAGTTCTACCCTAAAATCTACAAGGTATCTTCTACATAGATCTTCTTTAAATACACACACATACACACACATGGACACACACATTTGGGTTTCCCACAGAGGTACCTTAAATTTACACAATTACCTGTTGTGTAATTAGAGGTCGTATGGAAAACATCTTTGGATGTTTTTTTAAAAATAAAAATTAAGCAAACTACTAAGAACAAAACCAATTAGATTTAACAATTAGAAATGATTTCCTTTAGGGGAGAGAATTCCACCTTTTGTAGAAGAATCTGACTGGTACTGCAGACTGTAGACCAGCCTGGGGGTCTGGGGTAGGATAGTCGGGGCAGGTGGGGGTGCAGGTCCGGACTGAAGCGTAATAAAAAGGGTATTTGAGAAAAACAAAAGAAGGCCAAAAGGTAAAAATCATATGAGTTGCTCTTTTAAAAGAACATTACTTTAAATTATTCCATTTGGAAAGAACCTGTAGAGATTAATCAATCCAGCTGTCTCTTAGCAGAATTGATCTCATTATTATAAAAAACCACCCTCCATAAATAGGACAAGCTTTAGCTTTGAGTGGATCCAGCGAAGAGGATTCCTTCAAGTACTTTGGCAACTTATCCACCTCCTGACTGTTGTTAGATGCAGGCGGCCCCTCCCCCTGCCCTCTCTTGCCTTAAATACGCGAAATTTTCCTCTCTGGAGGAACTTAAGCTTAATGCTTCTGGCTTGGTCTAAGCTGACTAATGGGAATAATGTCTCCTTTACCTGATCTTTTTAATGTATTTATAGACCACTACAATGACTCCCTTCAGCTTTCTTCCTTCCAGGCTAAACCATCTCAGCACTTTCGTTCGTGCCTCGGCATGTTTTCCTTCAGACCTTAGTCTTTTTTGCTCTTCTCCTATGAACTCATTTTTCTACCTCCAGTATATAGATCCCCAACTAAATGGAACCACCAATGACAGACTAACGAAGTCAGAGTGGCTACAAGTAATGAGTATTTAAGGGCAAGAAGAGGACAGACAAAAGTGAAGATTCTAAAGCAGTGCTATCCAATAGAACTTTCCGCGATGATGGAAAAACTCTCTATCCAGGCTGCCCCATGCGATGTCCACTAGCCACATGTGGCTATTAAGCACTTGAAATGTGACTAGTGCAACTAAGGGAATGAATTTTTAATTTGATTTAATTGTAATTCATTTTAATTTAGATAGCCACAAGCGGCCTAAGCTGGGGGCAGCGCAGTTCTAGTGGATGGGCCATTGGGAAGGGGCGCCCCTCTATTGGCTCAGCATGCTCCCTGTGTCCAGAAAACTGTGAGGGGAGTCAATAAGGTCAAAGGTGACTAGGCCAAACCCCAGGGCCCAGGCAGAGAAGTTAATCAGCTCTAGAAAGATAATTAACTGTTTAGCCAAGCTAGTTGGTTGTAACTGTGTAATAGACTAGACCACCCATCTCCAAAATAGAGTGCATGAAACCTAGAAGATGAGTGAGGTGACCCATTGGGGAGTGGAAAGAAGCAATGAGAGAGTCTGTTTGTACTTATATCTTTCAAAATTAAAAATCTCACTTTATTAATAATTACAAAGTGACAACAGTATTTGCATGTAATTTATAAATTAAAATATATCGGGGTAAAAAACTATTCTAAAATTAAAATTTTATCTTAAAAATATATGCATATATATTGGAGGGGGGGCTGCAAGTTCAAAAACGGTTTGCTGATAAGGGTGTGCAATTAAAAAGCTTGAAGGCCACTGCACTAGACACCTGCCTCACATGGAAACTAGCCATGTTGACGTTTTAAAAACACAACCTTGGTGTCTAAAAAGAAAACTACAGAGTTTCCACTCCAACATTCATTTAATTCACATCATTAATATCAGTGGTTCTCAAACCTCAGTGTGCATGGAAATCACCTGCCGGACGATTAAACTGCAAATTTCTGAGGCCCATCCAGAGCCTGCTGACTCCAAATATGTGGAAATGGGGCCTAGGAACCTGCATATTTAATAAATCTCACCAGCAATTCTGAATCAGATAGTTGCTAGACCTACACATTAAGAGAGACTCATCTAAATTGGCTACAATTTTTAGCCGAATTTTATTCTACGAAGGAACTGGCGTCTAAATATGGAATGAGGGAATATTCTGATTTACAAGAAGTGTTGGTTTTTACTGGCAAATGAACTTGCATCCAGTTACTTTAAATAGCTGTTTGCCACTAATGAATCATAGGCAGACACATTCAAACCCTCTTTAACCGTGTCCCTGAAATGCCCGTGTGGATGAAATACCAAACTTGACGTTCAACTCATGATGTGAGCCACTACAGAATTAACTAGAGGATTTGGGCAATGCCACGCAGCCAAACCAAGGTTCAAACCTACTGATTCATTTGGGCCCATCTCTCACCCTAGGATTAGGCAAATTCTGATAACAAGGTGAAGAGAACATTTACTCTTTGACACGTAGGCATCCTAAAACCCAAAATGTTAACCTGACATCTGTATTATTATCTCCTAGAAGAATAAGAGCTCACGGCCATACCCCACAGCAGATACTGAAGTCAGTTACTAGACACAGAGGTGGTTCAGAGACAGTGTATCTAAAACAGAGGTGAAAATTATTCATGAACTGCTCATAATTACAGTGGTACAGCTCTATTATTAGAAAGAACAGCTTTACCAACCCCAGACCCCTTAGCAAAACTACCTGTGGTTTTAAATGTGAATATGCTTCAGCCTGTACAAGGCTGATTGTGAACCTCATTTGCAGACACAGTTATGGCATTATCTCCAAACCATGAGAACAGCGTGGGAAAAAAGTCACATGATGTTTCTTCTGCTCCATGTTGGATCCACCAGTGAGCAGATATTAACGGATCCCTCTCAAGTCCTAAGGAGGGCCTCGGTGTCAGATGAGACACCCGCTGTGCTCTGATATGGACCCAGTGAGTGACCTGTAGAATGTCATTTGTTCACCCTGTGACTTGGTTTACCCTCATGAAATCTGCAACTCTATGACTGTTCACCAAATATTTTCCTATCAGCAGGTAATAGGCACAACAAAATTAGAAGAACTTTCGACTAACTCTTACTTCTGAATGTGTTCTTTACGTTTCTGAGTGAGGTATTTCTTCTTTAAGTCCAGCAGTTCATTGGTGAGTTTCTCGATCTCGTACTTATATTCTTGGCTCTGTGATTCATACATATTCAATTCTGAAGACAAAACCTAGTGCGGCGAATAAAGCAGCATTAACAGAAGATATGAAGTGAGACAATATCCTTTTCTGAAAAATCTTTTAATCTGCTGTTATTTACCTCAGTGGGGCTGGAGGTACAAAACCACACCCAAGTTCCCAAGTTTAAGGCATACCCAGTTAATCCTCACACTTCTACCAGCTCAAGGTCTGTATCTGGGTAGAAAAGCTGGCTGAGGGCTGAGGACTCATAATCCAGTGAGGAACTTAAGTGAAAACTCATTCCCCTGCTTAGAAGGAGAACTACAGGCAACATTCAACAGGCTCGCACATGAATGGTGTGATGTGTTTAAGGAACACTGAGTAGAGAAAGGAAAACTCCAGACACAGTATGAAATTGCTTTTAAAGCCTTTTTAAAAAGCATTCAAGAAAGACATCACCAGGGAGCATGATCCATCTGAAGATTACGGTAAAAATTATTCTGGAATCATCCTGCCACCACTACCGCTAACCAGGTGTTCAATTTATGTGTTTTCCAAGGTAGCTGTTCTACTAAATGTCTGTCACCTCTGTATTGTGTTCTTTGGGATTATTCACAGGTTCTCTCTGTGTCCCAGCACTGGGACACGTACCTCTAAGAAGCAGGGAGCTGTGACATGTGCGTGGGAGAGTCTAATGCATGTGAGGGGCTGTCCTAAGAAGCCTGATTATCTGCCCTTCATTGTGGTGTTCAATAGATGCCACTGGTGTCAGGCTGGTCAAGCAGAGTGGGAATTCATCTGAACAGAACGTGGAAAGCACGCCAAAGCTGGGGGTGCTCCCCACAAAAACCGAAGGGAGAAAAGGAAGGCTATTGCTCTAAGGGGCAGGTAATAGACCCTACTTGTGTTCCTCTCCCTCACTATTTTAAAAATTTGCATAAAAGGGGGATCTTTGTCTTTTGAATGTTTATCTGCTTTTGAACTCATTTTCCTCTTAATTGCTGTGAAAATGAGTCTAACTATGTTATCATGGGCTAAAGAATATGATCTTCATGTTGGAAGAAAACCTGTCTTAATAGTTAGGTTCTTGGGAACAAAGACTCTGTTTCTACACAATGAATACAGAATTCCCTAAAAAAGAGTCCAGATAATGAGCACAAACTGGCGGACAGGCTCTCAGCACCATCCACCTCTGAACCTCTTCCACCAGGGGTCACATTTCATTCAGAGCAAAACTCTGGATTTCCTGAGATACAGGGTTAAAGTAACAAAAGGCTGCTGTGAGCCATTTAATGCAACCCAGCGCTGTGTGTGGTTCTCTGACCACAGCGTAAAGACAAATGTGTGCTTTTCTAATCTACACCCGCCCCTGAAAAAAAGAGAAAATAAGTTTTTACTTTGAAATATTTGATTGTTTAAAGGAATGAAAATTATCAAAAGATTATGCCTCATGCAAAACTCAAATTATGTCTCAGCATACTCATGTGAAATGAACACTTAGAGCGATAAGTTGAAAATGAATGTTCTAATTAGACTTCTGTTTCATCTGCCTTTTTTAAGTAAAAGGATGCGATTTTACAACAACCTATTTGTAAGAAGATTAGTGCTACATTAGTGGCGTGGCATCTTTTGTACCCAAGGCAGAAAGGCAACGATTATTACCCTCATTGCACAGGTGAGGGCTCAAATTCAGCTGGCATGTGCTATATTCTGTGAGCATGTGTGTATAAGATTTCTCTGACCTGCCAAGAATATCTAAGTTCTCATTGAGGATGTAAAGCTCAAAATATAGTGGGAACACACAGTTTTTGAGAAAACTTTAAAAAGGCACATGTAGTAGTAAAACATTCCATCTCCTCAACGGAAGTTCTTATGTCACTTAGAAGGGAATTTATTCTAATAGAATTTCTGTATGATTTTCTTTCCCTGTCACGGCTACTCATTTGATAGATGGTCGTGAAGCAAGGCCCTGGGGGCTGGGGAGTAGCCTGTGCTTTGTGTACATTTATTTCAGCCGGAATGGAACAGCGAAAACCTGATCTGGCACAGTAGTCTGCTTCAGTGGGCGATGGTGTTAAAATATTTTCTCTGTTCTTCCCCACCATCCAATTTGTCTAAAACATCTTGAGATCATCCATGCAGATCCTGTTCCCCAAATTTCCACCCCATCGCCATCATCCTCTCCTCAACTCTTTCCTCATTTGCTTACCTCTCTCTTTTGGGAAATGGAGAATTGTGGGGTCTATTAGTCTAGGAGCAGAGGGGTAGCTCTGAGGCCTCCCCTGCTCCTCTTGGGACTGGAGTGCTAAAAAGCTGACCTCAGTGGACTACGGCATTTGGGGGCCTGGCTCATTGTGTCGAGGCAGTGTTGTCCAGGTGTGCTCCCCAGAGTGTGGCCATCCTTCGGCCAGCAAAGAGCAGAGGCTCCCACTTACCTTAAGCTGCTTGGTCTTCTCCCGCAGCGTGTGGCGGTAGATCTGTAGCTGCTCCGCCGCCTCCGGCCCAGGCAGCCGGGCCAGGATGAGCTTTAGTTCCACATACAGTTTCTCCTTTTCCTGGTGGAGAGCATAAGCACGAGCGGAGATAAACAGCCCCATCAAGACAAGGAAAGTGCCCTTCACCGCGTGGTCAGGATGATTTGGGACTACCCTAAGTTACTTCTTAGCTCCACACTGATTACATTCACCTATAGATTCTTTCAATCACGCATCAAACCAACCCTGATCAAGGGCCTAGGCTGTGCCCAAATAATAAGACAAATGAGGAAGAGAAAGTCCCTCTCTACCTAAACTTATAACCACATAACTGAGAGACAAGGGCAGTGATGGAAGATCTCGACAAAGTGCTGTGGCCAGTAAAGCAGGCAGTGACTAGCTCTGGTTGGAAGAGCGAGGGGGAGATTTCTCAAAAATGTCATTTGAATTGTCCCTTGAAGAATGAGTAGGAGTTTCTTCCAAGCACAGAGAGAAAAGAAGAGCTTTTTAGGCCACGGTTCAGTGATAGGACAGGGAAGTGATGAGTCCAGTTCAGCAGGTGCACAAGGCAGAGGGAGGGAGAAGCAGAGAGAGAAGGCCGGGCTCATAGGTGGGGACCAGACTGCATGTGTCACACAGGACGTGGTTTGGGACCACATCCTTTAGGCAATGGGGAGGCAAGGATGAGCCACACCTGGGTTTGTCTTCAGAGGAATAACTCCAGTAGGAAAGCAGAGAACAGAGTGAGGAGACTGCTTGGGGCACCAGTACAAGCAGAAGATGAAGAAAGCAAGACCTAAGGCAACTAGGATGGAAAATAGGTAGACGTGAAGACATTCCTGAGGTAGAATTAGTAGGATTTGGTGAACGATCAGACAAATGAGGAAGGAAGGAGCAGGAGTCAAGATGACTCCGAAGTCTCTAATGTGGACAAGTGGGGGCCTGAAGGGTGATGGTAATGGAGGCACAGAGGGTAGGAGAAGGCATGGGCTGAAGGGGAAGAGAATTGTCACTGCGTTCTCTTCTAATAATCAGTGGGTTCTGGATACATTGAGCTTGAGGCCCTGTGGTTTATCTAGAAGAGGTGTTGAAAATGTGGCCCCAGCATTGAGAACTAAGGAGCAAGTTGGAGCTAGAGGTGGGTCATGGCTAGAGCCATGAGAGTGGATCCATCGACCAGGGATGGCTTATAGGGTGGGCCAGGACAACCAGATCTTTGGGAGAACCAGCATATAAAGGGTGGGTAAGTAAGACCCAGAGAAAGAGAATGGGGGAGAGTAATTGAATGTCCCCAAAACCAAGAAAAGGCAGACATTTAAAAAGGGAGAAATGATTTGAGTGGTCAGTGACATCGAATGGGGTAAAGAGAAGAAACAAGAGAGGGAGTAAAGATGGCCTTTGGGGTGGGCTATTAGGTCAGTGCCACTGACCTTAGAAAGCCTGCAATAAAGTCACAGAAGTTGAAGAAAAAATCAGAAGAAGGAAATATAGAAAGTGAGTCTTTTATGAATTATGACATGGGAAAAAAAGAGATCTGGAAATGGTTTGACGGAATAGGTAAAAATCCAGAAAAACTAGGATATGCAAATTTGTAGAACTAAAAGAAAGGACCTCCTAGGAACCCAAAGCAAATCATAACTCTGTAACTTAATTTAACCAACAAACAATATAGAATTCCCATTTGTACCCTGAAGTTTAATTGCTTGTAACATGTTTTCAGATCCTTGAACTGAAGGTATTACATAGAAGCAAAGATTTACTTCCAAGGCATCTCAATCCTAGATTCCCATTCCTCTCAACTGCAATAATTTGAACAAACATTGATCAAGACTAGTGTGTCTACTCATTTGGCTGGGTACATATTTATTTTCTTAAGGTAATTACATTAAAGGAAAAAAATACAAGTAAAAGCCCTCTCATTAAATGAAACATCCAGTCAAATGGAAACTAATTTTTACCCAGAGCTAAGCATTCTTAGCATTGTCATCAAACAATCTGTTTTTCCCAGAGAACATAAAAGTCATAAAAAGAATAGGTAAAACAAAATTCATTAACTAGTCATTGTTACCATTTGTTTTAGTTTTTCCTTTTCCCTGGCCAAATTATAGAAACTTTATTACAAATAACACGGCTCTACTTTCAAAAACGTGTATGCAACTTAAAATTTAGCTGGATGGGCCGGCCCGGTGGCATAGTGGTTAAGTTCGTGCATTCCGCCCAGGGTTTGCAGGTTCGGATCCCGTGTGCAGACCTACGCACTGCTTATCAAGCCATGTCCCACATATACAGTGGAGGATGATGGGCATGGAAGTTAGCTCAGGGCCAATCTTCCTCAGCAAAAAGAGGAGGAGTGGCAACAGATGTTAGCTCAGGGCTAATCTTCCTCACCAAAAAAACAAAAAAAATAGCTAGAAGTAGTAAGCTTCTGGGGAAACACATATCAAAATAATTCTCATCATTTAAGAAATAATTCCAGAAATGACAAGGAAATCCAAAAGCCTGCACAATAGAAGAAAACTTGAACAGATAGAATTACAAGGTGGTCATTTTCCTTTGCTGTACAACCCCTCCTGTCACACCTTACAATAAAATCTTCCCAGTAAATGGATATAGCAAGCAATGAGAAAGATATCAGGAGGTGAGTTTATTTTCTATAGCCACTTAACGCCTGCTCTGTTGGAAAAATAACACTTCTGACAAGGCTTCAAGATTCAATTTGGAGAGGGTAATAAATATGCGGAGAAGCCCATGAAACTGTTTTGTCTGTTTCTTTCAGCTTACCTTTCTCTGCATTAGAATACGGGTAGGCTTGAAAAGTAAAGAATCCCCCAATGATGAGGGGGAAGGAATCTAGTTTGGGACATAATAATATCTTAAACTGAAAAGACCATCTTAATCCAAGAACCTTCCAATGTTTCACAGGCGTAATTCTTTTCAATTGCTCCTGGCAGGGAGGGAGGAAAGAGACACAGAGAAGAAAGGCTGCAAGAAGCAAATACTGTTACCTCACCTCATAGGTGAGAACCCCAAGGTCAACAGGAATGAATGGTGTGTCCAAAGTGTGACAAGTCAAAAACCTAGTCATGGTACACTCAAGAATCACTTTTCCCATGCAACACCTCCTCTGGGGCTTGAAGACATTTTATAACCCTGAAAGAATCTGGATCAAATTGAGCTACATAATTCCTAAGGCTACATGATAACATCAATAGAAGAATGGAACCAGAAGGTGAAATCAGGTTCAAAGTCAGGTTAGAGAGTGTTAGAGGTCAGAGCATGACTTAGCTCCCCCCTCTACTGATCTACACCATCCAAATGAGCCCCCTACCCAGGTCCTCTAATAAGGCATGCAATCTTCGTATACAGAATGAACAATGTTGCCATTTATCCTGTCTTTTTCTATCACTTTCTGGTTGGTTTGTTTGTTTGTTTGTTTTTTGAGGCTGTAAAATGAATTGAAATGGATTTATTCTAAAGGATAACTGAGCGACTGAACAGTGAGGGCTCACAAGTGTGGAAAGAAAAGTGAAGAAACTGAGTGAATTACCATCAAAACTGTTGGAGTATTCAAAGTCAAAAAGTTCTGAGTTAAATAACCCAGGACAAGTGATGCATGTGTGTTCACGGCGGGTGGAAAGAATACCAAATGAAACTTCAGGGACTAAGAGGGTGGAAGTACGAAGAGCTGGGGGAAAAGGAAGGGGGGTAGTGGTTGAAATGCACTGCTAGGCTTCAACATGTATGAATTTTGGTCTACGCTCGCAACGGAAAACCTAACTGATACAACCAAAGTGAAGGCTGGTCAGCATTAACATTCTAGCTGTGCGTATCATACAGATTTGTATTTTGGGAGAACGTGCTAGTAATCTAGATAAATATGGAGTGTTTGATGGATTGAAGGTCTTAAGTACGATTGTTTTTCAATTTATTTCTCTCCTAACCCTCTAAAAGGGCCAACCAAGCTCTTCAAACATTGTGCAATGGTGTGTATAATAACCCCATTTAGAGACAAAGCATGCAATTCTATTATAAAGAGAATCTGTCTTATGCAACAGAGACTCATTAGCTCTCCGATGTATATTGTCTCCGTAAGCCAGCAGTGGCAGAACCAGCTGCCTTGTAATACATATCCTGTCCTTCTTCATTAAGCCACGTTCATTTCTTTTTAAACCAAGTCAATTAATTTGTCATTGGGTTAGAAGCACCATATGTCAGTGAAACATCATAAGAAAATCATAAATAGTGTATTATTTCCCCAGCAAAAAAAGACTGCATCTTCAGGTCGGCATTTCTTTCTTTATTCCGAGTTTGTTCATGACGCACATCAATATTACTTTGTAGAATGCTTCAAGCTTTAAATTATTTTATGAACAGCTATCCTAGAAAAAAGCTAGACTATTAACACCAAGACACTAGCTTTCTCTTTGGCTGAGCATGTCTTGCAAGCATTAACCATACTATGTCTATTCTTGAAATGATGTTCTCTTGCTAGACATCCCATTCTCTCAGTTGGACAAACTGTCAGACATGGTCATGGATTCTTTTGCTGCAAGAGTCTCTGCCAAGTTATGCTGGATAACAGCGCAGCTCATTGTCAATATTGGCTGAGTACAGTGGTAAGAAATTAATTACAGTATTAGCTTCAAATAATGCTGTCATTACATGGTGACAGTCTATAACCCAATATTGGAAACTCCAGACACGGAATCACTCAGACTTCAGGTATTTGTATTTTACGTGACAATAAATTAAAAGTCTACATTCTGAACAGTCTATGCAAATAAGAGTCAGTGCTATTCTGGGTACAATTCAGAGCAAAAAATTGAGTTGCTCACAGATCCTCTTTCCCCACTGAGCTACAATTTTATATTCACTGTCTGTTTATATTCCCTGTCTTTTGCCTTGCATCTTCAGCTGGAAACAGAAGGTAGTTCACATTCAGGTGCACTTTAACACCTCTTCTTCCTCTGCTCGCCTACTCGAGGCAATAACTGACTAAGAGGAACTAATTTATTCTGTTTTCATCTGAATCTGTGTTTGGCAAATGCCAGTGCATTGATTCTGCTCACCCTGGATTCATCAATTTGCTTGGGCAAGCATTGGGAATAATTGCCTCACCCTAT